CTCTCATAACTCCAATAATTGTTTATGTCAAAAGAATAACTGCGTGTGCAAGACTCCATAACAGTTATGATTAGAGCTCTCATCCGTAGTTGCTCAGAATCAATAGTTAACTCGTTCTCCTTTCGAGTGCAACTTCCAGAAGTCCATCTCGACACAGTGCGGTGTTCAACGTGTAACGAGGTTGTTGGTGAACGAGTAACAAAAGTAGTTACCCCGACCGGTGCAGAAAGTTAAATTCGATTCGTTGAGAAAAGTTTAATCGCGTACGTTCTATAAAGGTAGAAGGTAGACGGATTGTTCTTTTACCAGCGAGTTAAGTACACGAGTAAAATCCCTAGGTCCGAAAGAGGAACAAGGAAACCAATCGACCGGGTCCTTTCCGAGGCGAACCGAGGCACTTACGACATATCCGAATGACATTTCTTCGGAATAACGAGTCATCACGTGGTGCGTGGTGATATTCCGTGTTTAGATTATATACACGCAGATGTATCACATTTAAGTTAATATTAACTATTATCTATTAATTGTCAAATTAATATTAAGAAAATAAATTTGAAGCAGATGAAAGCAGATCATAGAGCGTGTATTTTACAATGCAGGATCGTCTCGCTCATAACAATATAATAAAATTATTTCCCCCTTTTTTGCGTATATCTTTTGATTTGCGATAAATAGCGAACACTTTCAAATTGTGATTTGAGGCGGCAAACTGATCTGAATGGAGACATTTCAGCGAATATCATCTCCCGCAGCGAAATAAAGTAGCGTTTGGAACGCACCGCTAAATTCATCATTGAATCTCATTGAAAGTAATTGTCCTTCGATTAATTGAGTGCAATGCCCGATATTGTTCACTAACCACAATAAAAAAATCATTGATTCCGTCGCGGATGTATTACACTTCGAAATGCTATGTATAGGAAATTGCGCGAATACAGGATGCAATAACACATACACGGCGTACATGCGCAATGGAGCTGCATTGTATCTCTATTACGCTTATATTGGTATTTACGAAATGCGTTTATAGCGGACATTTTTTTATGTAAATTTATTTGGTAAATTTACACTAAATTTCATTGTACGATTAACTAGAATAATTCTACATTTCTGTATTTTATATTTCTATATTTCTGTATTTTATTGATTTTTTTTAGTTATATAAAGTCAAATTTACAGCGTTTTAAATTCTGTTTAGGCCTTTTTCGATGATAAAAAAATCAAACATATCGAAAACGGAATTGCGTTTCACAGATATTTGATCTCTTTCTGACTCTCCCCTCTAACTTTATTTTTTGAAAGATATTAACGTGAAAAAATAATATTTTATCCTCTCTCTCTCTCTCTCTTATGCTTTTATCCAATAGAAGTTAAATTCTATTATCTTCGTCGCAACAATAATAATACATTTTCAGAAATAGCAGTAAATTGACAAATTAACAATTAATTTATATGCAAATGTTTTACGAGTATTTTTTATGAGCCAGAACCTGTAATAAATAATGAATTAATAACGAAGTTGTATTCAATATGTATATAAATTGCTCGTTGTCGACCTGTCGTTAGCAGAAATTAATTCGTTTAATAACGCGTGCAGCATGAATTTACACTCGACTAGAAGTTTGGCGCCGAAATCGACTTCGCGACACCTTCAATTTCAGTTTACGTTGGGCCATTATGCCCGATTCATTTTATGCCATAAGCCTAACAGCTAGTTGTCGCATGCCCCGTAAACTTGTTCGACACGCTAATTCATGGAATATGAAGCGAATTGCGAATCGTATTGCGAGAACTAATAAAACTTTGTTGATGCTTAGGAAATGCAAATTAAATGCCACATAGCAAGAATTCGTCCGAGTGGGTTTTCAGCTCGCGATTGGCAGTGCCGGAATGTTTGGTTCAAAGCATCTGGTGAATAAGTTTCATCTCTAATTGCTACAACAGAAAAGATTATTTGCCTCGTGAAATGAGGAAAAGATTTCAATTAATTTTTTTCCATGTTAAAATGTTAATAACATGGCAAGCTGTTACGACTAGAATGTTTTTTTTCCTTACAATTTACTAGAACGAATAATCGCGAGAAACTTTCGAACTTTGTAACTCTGTTTTCAAAATCATAAGCAAACTTTTGCATCTCGCCTATAAAACTGATGATATTATTGAAAGTAGTGCCCGAGGTGGAAATTAATACATTTTTTTTAATGATAAAAAAGGTTTATTATTTCTTTTTCTTTTCTTCCTCTCTTTCTTTCTTTTTTTTTTTGTCCTTGACTCGCTCTCGTCTTTATCGGAAT